CCAAACTTGCAACCAACCTGCCGACAGTTAGTCTGTTCCCGTACTGCAGGATTTAATCAGAATTAGTCCGAAGTCGTTCTGTTCACGTAAGTCTAGAATATCAACAATCTAGCGATGCAAAAACCAAAAATGTGGCTCGACAGAACTTTTTGTGCTGATTTTAACGATATTAATGGTTAAAGTTAAATTTTCTGATTTTTTTTTAATATCAATATCTTTTGAACAACATAACCTATTAAAAAACTAATGACGTCAAAATAAAGATAATTAATTTTTCTTTCATGTATGCAGATAATTTATATGCCTTTTTATATTTTTAGTCCAGAAATACTAAAAAACAAAATAAAATAAAAATATATATTTTTAAATGTAGTTTATATAAAATTAGTTCTAAAACTGGTTATAGTATATACCTTGCATAAAAGGCGTTTAAATTATGTTGAAACTAGCATCAATAATTTTTTAATCGGTTAACTAGTTTCCGAGATATTAAACACATATGTAAGAAACAGTTAAGTTGAACTTTAACCTCTTTTATTGGCTTTGGGTTTTATTTGCACCAAATAATTTTAATTAATGGTTGAAATTAGCGTAAAAAGTTCTATCGATCCTTATTTCTTGGTTTTTTTTTTATAGCTAAACGGTTGGTATTCTAGACTTATGTGTGTGTGTGTTAACTCCTGTAATACGGGAAAGACTAAATGAGAATGAGAAAAAGTAAACAAAAAATGTCAAATTAAACTCTGAGTTTCTTAAACACCCCAATGTGAGGGCTTGACAGTTGTTCTTAAACTCAAAACGTTAAACTCGAGTTAATGGCTCAATGAGAACGTAATATAACTCTACTCTTAAGCTCGGAGTTTACCATACAAAATATATCGTTTAACGCTCCTTAAATACCACTTTTTTGGAGTTTATGTGAATACAACCCTTTTTTTGACCCAATTCGGTTTGTGTCTTTGATAATCCAAGCCTGCAACCAACTTACCGACAGTTAGTCTGTTCCCGTACCGCAGGATTTTATCAAAAATAGTCCGAGTCCGCTCTGTGCACATAAGTCCAGAATATCAAGAATCTAGCGATGAAAAAAACAAAAAAATGTAGCTCGATAGAACTTTTTATGCTACACAACAAAAATTATCTAGCAGAAGTAAAATATAAAAAAGATATCGATGGTCAAAGTTAAATTTTTTGATTTTTATTAAATATTAATATCTTCTGAACAACATAACCTTTTAAACAACTAATGACGTCAGAATAAAGGTAATAAACAGGGAACGGATTTTTAGGACCTAAAAACCTATAAAAAAGGCAAAATAAAATAACGAAATAGGCTGGAAAAGGCAAAATAAAATAGCGAAAAAGGCAGGAAAAGGCACAAGGTGTTGCAAAAAAGGCAAAAAAAGGCAAAACAAAATAGCAAAAAAGGCAGGAAAAGGCAAAAAAAGCAAAATAAGGCACCTAAAAGACAGAAAATACGAAGAACAATCAAAAAATACATTTATATTACAAGTAAAAAGAGAAAAACTATGAACTAGTTTCATTATATGAAAAATTTGTACTTTGAATCTTTGACTATTTTATCCTTTCGGGTTTCTAACTCATAAAACTTTTATCTGTATAGTTGTAGTAACATTGAACCACAAGATGCATTTTGAAGTTTTCTGGCAGCATTTTCATTCGATTTTGATACAAGTGGAGCCCAATTTAAATATGGAACGTTTGAAACGTTC